GGTATTAAATTTACTAGACCTTTATGTACTTTGTCAGCATTTCTGGGATTTTTGCCAGGCTGTTGGTCTGCGGAGCTGTCCATCTTAGCAAAGTCCTGTGATATGTTCCATTTGTTTCATGAAAAACTCTACTACATGTTCTTCCAAGCACCTGAAACAGCATAATACAGCATTTGTAGGGATCATTTTACATTCTTGTTAATTATGTTGATCGGGCTATGTTCTCTCTGCAGGATAGACTAAGAAGTCTGTGGGTAGAGGCTGATATTTACCAGGGTCTGCGGCCTCAAGTCGCAAGCCCGTTGTCCTTACTGCCTGTAGTAGGAACTCTATAAGTGTTCACTGTTGGTGTTGCTTACAGAGCTACTGAAGGCTTGAATTTTATAATTTTATCTTTATGGAGATATTATACTGTTATACATACAGTATAATTCAGTAGTTCTATGTGGACAATTCCAAATTTTGGCAAATGTATACAATTATGTTAAATACCACCACGATTAAGATATAAATATATTCATCACCCGAATAAGTTTTCTGTGTTTCTTTGCCGTCAATACCCTCCCAACCCTGGCATCTGGCAGCCACTGTTCTGCTTTCTGTCACAATAGTTGCCTTTTCTAGAATGTCATATATAGATGTAATCATACAGTACACTGTTTTGTGTTGTCTTATTTCACTTAGCCCAATGCTTTTGAGATTCTTCCACATTGTTGCACATATCAATAGTTTGTTCCGGTTGCTACACAGTCTCACCAACACTTATCTGGTAAGTCTTTTTAATTTCAGGCATTCTAGTGTTTGTATAGTAGTATCTCGTTGTCACTTTAATTTGTATCTTTTCGTGTGCTCATTTGCCATTTGCTTACCTTCTTTGGTGAAGTGTCTGTTAAAATCTTCTGCCCATTATTTTTTTTTAAACAATTGGGTTATCTTATTATTGAGTTGTAAAAGTTCTTAAAATATTCTGGATACAAGCCCTTTATCATATATATGTTTTGAAAATACTCCCTCCCAGTCTGAGGCTTGCCTTTTCATTTTCTTAATTTTTTTTTAAAGATATTATTGGGGATTTGGGGGAGGGAACTGCGTTGGGGAATCGAGGAAGGGGAACAGAAAAGTTGCTGTCCTTTGGTTCTTCAGTCGAGTTGTGGAGGACATCACTTCACTGGCCCATGCTGGTATTATCATTGCGCTCTTCCTGGCTGAGGCAGATTGGTTGCCAGCCACTCATGGTAGCTTAAGGCAGCCCACTGCAGCCCCACTGCAGCCTACGCCATCACCGGCAACTCATGGTAGCCCAGCTCCAGGTAGAGCTGTTGTTCACCATCTTAGAGGGCGCAGCGTCACTGGCCCATGTGGGAATCGAACCGGCGGCCCTGCTGCTCAGAGCTCGCGCTCCCAAGCCAACTCTTAACCAAATAGCCACTCTGCTGGTCCTCATTTTCTTAATATTTGAAGCTATCTTAAATTTTCACAGAATGATGGGGTTCCCTAGAACTCAGTTTGAAAATACCTGAGGCAGCTAGCTTACTTTTGTGTACTTCTAATTGCTATGAAGTCCCTACCCGTATCAAAGCTGATTCATTCCCATCCCCTCTCTCTCTCCCTCCCTCCCCATTTCTTCCCTCCCTCCCTCCACTTCTCCTAATTCCAACCCTTAGAATCAGCTCAGAATGAGTCTCACTCCTCTTCTACATTGGTGATTTTCAAAATGAAGGTCATAGCCTGTAGTCTTTCGTTAAGTTTTGGTTTATTGTGTGTGGTTTTTGCTGGGTGATTAAACATAAAGTGCATTTCTTATCATGGGTCACAACCAAGTTTGAAAGCCACTGTTCTATATGACTATTCTTCAAGTATCTGAAGGCAGCTGTCATATCCCTCCACCTAAAGACTAACCTCCACAAGGAAGCCCTTCAGCTTATGGGGTGCCTTCTTGTGGCATGAGGATTGCTCCCCTCACTATACTGGGCATCATCATCTTCGGCTCTGTCACCAGGTTCATCTGGGTCTTTCCTCACAGCTTCTTGGGGGTGACTTCCTCGACCACTCTCAAGAAGCACCACCCCATCTTTCTCTAGCCCCTAACCCTGCCTTATTTTTCTCAAAGCATTTTTCATTACCCAACATCATATTTTATGTGTTTTCTTTCCTTTATGATCTTCCCCAATAGAATGTTCATCACTGAATCCCCAGTCTGTTTCCTGGCACATGGTTGTTGCTCAGTATTTGTAGAATGAATGAATACTAGGGGAAGACACATGTTAGTGATAATGTACACAGATGTACTGATAATACAACTCTTTCCTCAGGAGCCACATTCTATAAAGATTTAACTCACATGATTACGACTATAAGCATGTTTTCATTCTATCATCTCTATGTTTAAAAAACATTATCATTTATGTTATAGTATTGTCACATATTCTATGTATTTATACATGTATGTTACTGTACAGGGTATATCAATATATACTAAACCATGTATACTCTTACTTATGGGATTTGCATGAGTAGTTTTGACTCGAGATTTTTATTGATTGTTACAATTCTATTGTGCATCTTGAAAGTACTTTACATTTTTCAACGCACTTTCAGTGCTTTGAAAACTATTCCATTTGATATTTTTCATAAGCTGAGAAAATGTGTCAGAGATCTAGAAGAAATTTAGCATCCAGCTAATGACCACTCGATTCTAATCTCACCCTTTTGCCTTACAGATGGCTAAACTGAGACTCAGAGCAGGAAAGACAAAGGGACACCCAAGGAGCTAGAGTGGATCTGGATTAGAACTCAGCTCTTTGTCGTGCACCCCACTGCCTGACACCACAGCCCCCAAACGTTTGTACACTCGCAGAAGCTGAGACAGGGGAGTCAGATGCCCACGCCCCTCACAGAAGCTCCGTGGGCAGGCACGCTGTGGATATTATCACCACTTTTCTGGTGGGGACTCTGAGGGTATAACTCCAAGNCAGGCCTCAGGCCTATACCATGAGGCCAAAACCCAGACAAAAAGGAAAGAACCTTAGAAGACAATGTCATTTACCTTTTTATGATAAAATCTCTTGGCTTGACTATT